AAAAATTTTTAAAAAAAGACCAAGTAAAAAACTGCTCATCATCGTGAGACCATGAAAATATAAGTTGTTTACAAAAAAAACAAACTGTCATAAAACTGTTTATGAATGATTTCAACGGAATAATGAAGCTTCGGGGGAGTTTTTATTATCCTTATAGGGATTCTTTACATGTGGCGTGAGCTCCGGAAGCAAAGCGAATTTGAAAGTTGTTGTAAACACATCAACATACACGCTTCTATGTATACATTGCGTGCACACCAGTAACGGGTTTTTGCATATGCGTTGACTATTCGTCCTCCCATGGCAGGTATATTTTATACGGACGCACCTCTTTTTATCTAAAACTCTTGGTTTGTGGTATACATTTAAAATACACGGCAAAAAATAGTTGTCGTGATAGCTTTTTTTTAAACATTCTCCTTTCCATTTATTAAGGATCCGAGAATGATTATAAAATTCGATTGCAGTATGGTTACGTAATAAATGTTGAAAAAAAAAGAAAAAAAAAAAAAAAAGAAGAGACTAATATTACAGCACACACACACAAGTAGTTACTTATACATGATACCGAGTGCGATCAAAAATATTTATAGGAATGTTAATTTCTTCAGTAATTATAAAAATAGACGCGCCACGTACACGACGTTTTCCAAAGGTATCCAGGTGTTACGCGTTGGGTGTACATACATAAGTTTAATCGACAATGTGTTTACATTTTTATTTTCTCTATTTATCCCTCTTTCTCTCTCTCTTGATCGACAATAATCTTTCCAATAGCCTTATATAGCTTCACCGTCGCAGAGATCGCGTATACAATGCGTTTAATGTTTGTATGCATAAATGTGTGTTTTCATATAAACATACAATATAATATATGCTCATTTACAATATATAGCGCTCAATAAGAGAATGCCAATATTTCAGAAAAATAAATTGATCCTAATACATGAATAATATCCCTCGATTGGAGTTAATTGTAAAACCAACAAAGAATAAATTAAAGGATGTGTATATAACTTGTTCACTAAAGCATTAATTTTATATTGCGTAGATGGAACTCGTGTCAGGCCCATGCTTAAAGAGTGTGATTGTGTGTCTTCTCTCAAAAATAAAAACACCTGTAAAAAAATAATCTCGATTAATGAGGTATAAGAATATTTTTTGTCACGAGCAATCGCAAGTAATTTATCTTCTGATTTGAACTGTTGGATTACTGATGATAAAAAAAATATTCTTATACCTCATTAATCGAGATTATTTGTTTACAGGTCTCTTTATTTCTTCTTTTATCCGTTATTGTAATGCAGTACACTCGATTACAAGAATAATCAAACTACTATCTCGCAAAGTTATGTTCGAACTTTGATGAATCAGTTTCTTAGAAGAACAGTAACTTGCACGTAAAAAAAAAAAATCTGATGCATGCTTCATTAGCATAGTCTAGAGGGAAAGAAAGATCCTTCACCCACCCCCCGATAAAAAAGGAAAAGACAAAACTGGCCGAAACAGAAAATTAAGAAAAAAAACGAACGACAAGAAGCAAAACCAAAAAGTGGTAAAAGGATAATCGAAATTTATCAGCAAAAAAAAAAAAAAAAAGAGAGAGAGAAAAAGCCGAAATAGCAAAGGACGAAAGGATCAAAAGTCTGGAACCGTCACTTTTGTATGAAAACCGCACTTGGATGTATTGTCCAAGGTGACCATCAAAGGCTATGCTTTCACGCCCCTGGGCCAATTCTACAAAAAAATGAAGCTGCACCCGAATTCGATTGACGAGCACCGAACGAACAAGCTACGCAAGCCGATTCAATAAACCGATCCAGGTTTCCATTTCCCATCATCGATTCGTGTACGTATGTACTGCTGAAGGTGCAACGTCAATTTGAAGCCGTATAACCATGCAAAGGAAGGGAACGATCGATGCTGGAATATGGGTTCGGAGAGGGACATGCCTTGCCATCGCAACTTTGATAGATTCGAGTACTTACCAAAAGGTACAACAAAAATGGCCATGCAACTCTTATCGCGAGCCATATGGCTTCCATGCCAAAATGTTTAGTATTCATTCATCACCTGTTTAACAATTCAAACTAATCACCAAAATAATAAATGATGGAAAAAAAAACAAGCAACAAAAATGTTCTGAAATTAAATAATGGTCTTCGTCTTATCCTGCAGTAGTTCAAGAAGGCAGCGACGGTATCATCCGCCGTTGAAACGAACTTGCTGCCTTGACGAGATATGATAATGTTTATTTTTTTTTATTTATTTATTTAATTTTTACCACACAATAGTACTAAAACCAAACTCAAATGACTACTGCAGGATTTCACGTTCACAATAAAAGTTATAAAAAGAAAAAAATTAATAACAACGTTGAAAGATCCACAACTGACAATGTTATATTAAATTCCCTTCATCTTTTGTTGAGAGCTATTTGTGCTATTATAGAGAGCTTTCTTCATGTGCTTTTAATCCTGAACGTCGAATTTTTAACTTTCGTTTGCAAGAAAAGATTGAATCGTTTTTCAAGCCAAGCTATAAACCGCAAGCAACTAACAGAGAAATGTTAAAAAAATACTTGTGATGTCACGTAAGTAATTGTTAATTTTAAGGCCAATTGCACATGATTTTGTATTGCTGACTTCAAATCTGGACAAGTAAATTCACTGAACTGAAATAGTAGCAGGAGGTAAATGAAGAAACGGCAATGACATAAACTTGGTGGTAAAAATGACAAACACAAAGATTTTAGTAAAGCCACGACGAAACTAGTAATTTTGCACTTTTCATTGACTCTGGCATATAAAAGGAAGAAGAAAAGGAGGAGGAGCGTAGAAGTCTAGGCGGAAAAATCCGAGACATGCCCGAGGATTGGCTAAGAGAGATACGATAGGTGGGGTATTCGAAGGGTGGCTCCGACAGAGCATTGGCTGCAGCTGCTGAACTGGGAGGTCTTTTACGCGGAAAAACATAATACCGACGCCTAATTGTAAGAGATACGAGTGAGGGGATATATCTTTACCAACTTTGAATTTTCGGGTAGAAGCTTTTTTTTACTCCCATAGCTGCACGCAAAGTCCCATCAGACTATGAGAATTTCTCTATTTCCAGGTGGTGTGGAATAAATTGTACGGCTGCCTTTGAATATTGTATTTTTTTTGCAGCGAATCAAGTGCTTACATGTGAAAAAGTAACAGGTTTCGGGAAGGAGACGAAAGAGGTACCCGAATAAGTGTACTCTGTAAATGGACATACTGATTATATATTATTGATAAAAAAAAAAAAAATTGTAAAAATTACTGTTCTATATACCGGTACTTTGGTCTAGAAATTTTTTTGCTTTTGACAACCTACTAGTTCTTGCCATTTAATTGCTGGAGTCATTTCTACTGGGCAAAACGTAAAAATCCGTGTACTTACGATGAAAATCATCTATGATTTATACAGCAGTAATAATTATTGTTCTAACGGCCAACAATTATATATTATCTATACGGCGGAGTATTAATTAGATTATCATTCTAGTGCGGTAATTTTTGTAATTTTTTTTCCCTTTGTACAGATATGTGAAACAGCTTCTAAATGTGTTATAGAAAAGGATGCATCGACCCGCGAAGACGCTACGAGAAAAAAAATGGTAAGAATATAAAAATTGGAGTTGCGAGAAACATAATATACGAACGTGATTGGCCATTGCTCGAAGTAACGGCACCGCCTTGCTTTCCACGTGACAAAAATAATAACCCGAAGGGTGGCATTGTTGTCGCGAACCACATTACTTACCAAAGCGAACCGTGTTTTTTCTAACAAGGGTGCAGTGAGCGTCCGAAGATAAAAAAATAACGCAACGAGTTAAAAAAAAACTACTATTCTTCATTCTGAGGATACGCAACCCGACAATTTGATTACTCTGAAGCTAAATGAAAATGTTAACTTGCTTCACCGAATGGACGTGTCTATTAACTCGCATGCTCTCAATTTTTTTTTTTCGAACGGCCCCTCATCACCGCACGATTGAGTATGAAAAACTGTGATGTGTAAAACTCAAACCCCAAAATAATGTTCAAAAACAGCCATAACAGCGCGTTTCCACGGACAAAGGTTAATGGGTCGTTAGGTAAAATACGAATTTAAAGTCGATCACGTATATGGAAGACACAATCAATTATGTAATATAAGAGTTTTTTTTTTTTTTTTAATGAACAAAGATTTTTTTAAATGCTAAGAAACGTCTAATCATTGGTTGGTATCATTAGCAAGTACATGTTTTATCATCTCGAATTTCTAGTTATCTCAAACATTTTATTGCGGACCAATACTGCCAAAATTCATGCCAATCACTTTTCAATCCGTTTGTTTTTACAACATTGTAATTTTCTCTATCTAATTCTTTCATGCTTGTGTCACGATTTCGTTAAAAAAAAAAAAAAAAAAAAAACGTACGTTTTATCAGTCACTTGGCATCACACATGGTTTTCTCGCGTGTCGATTTTGTCTTGCATATTATAATAAAACTACAAAAAAATGTTGCATCTAGTCCATCATCGATTAAAATCTACAAACATGTGATTAATTTATGTATATATGTATATATTATATGCTTCTACGGTTCTGCCCTCATTGTCATCAACTGTCCACATTAATCGAGTGGCTGCGTTGCTGCCAAAGTATCGAAAAGTGACACTCGGTATAACACAACGTACTGAATGGTAATGACAGTTATAGTTTCGAGTAACGATTTAATATTCGCGCTGTAGATTTTTCTCTGCGGGAAAACAAACTAGACAAAATGCGTCGTACATTTGTGTTGTTTTTAACGTGTGCGATAGAAAAAAGAATATGTATTCATTGGTCATTTTTATAAGAGACACGAAGATAATGCTGACCCGAATCGTAGTATACATATGTGACGGCATCCGTAATAATAAAAGCTACACGTACATTTTTCAGCCGATTCCGCACACTGGCGCTGTCGAGGTTCTACTGTCAAGGTTGCGATGCCCGAGGATTTAGGTGAAGGAGAGCTATACGCACGCTGAATCTCTAAGAGACTTTTACTTTGCCGATGCCGATCCAAAGAGAGACGACGCGAACACGCGCTCGCGTTTCCCTTTTCAGTTGCTGCCAGGCCACGCAATCGGCCGCGTCGAGTTTTGTACTTCTTGTTTAACTGCGACACGGGATACCTACGGGGAGGACCAGTGATGCCCCTCGGAAGGGAAGAAGTGGTGCTCGACAACGCGAACTCGAAGGCATCCTCGGGGAAAAAGTCACATGGGTTTCATCTGGTCAGATCAAAGTTCGATCCGTATCCTTGGATCGACTCGGTCGACAGTCAAAGCAGCGCGGAAATCTCCGGACTCAGGTCCAGTTGTTTGTCTCTCTCTATGTCGTTAATGTTTTCACTGAAAAATACAACGTGATATCTCAGCTTCACTACCGATACCAACCGATTCATGGTTGGCATGTACATCATAGAATTGAATACTCGAACTGTGCGTAGGCCGGGGGACTGCCTGCTGGAGATCGACGGCCAAGACGTTCTCGGATTGGAGATGAAAGAAATGGCCCGCTTGATCGGCAAAAAGGAGGATCGCGTGCGTCTGAGCGTGTGGCGACGGCCACCGAAAAATTCCTCGCACGGCGATCGTTCCACCTGCCCGGGAGCCAAGGACACCTGGGACGATGACTCATCTGCTCAGGTTTTTCGTTTATTCCAACTGCCCATAGTCTAATGTGTAACTTGAATAATGTGTGTATACAATCGAAGGGTGCGCTGCTGGAAGGTCCTCTGCCGGAAATCGCGCGGAAACTCGTGCGCGCCGTCTCGGGCGTCGTTCACGCCCTGGAGTGTCCAAGTACGAAGTTGTTTTTTGACCGTATCCTCGTTTTTTCCGCACTCATTGTTATAACACTTCACATATTTTTCAGTCTGTTTCGAGAGCGCCGCGCCTCCGGTGGCCCAGTGCGTGCACGGGCACATACTCTGTTTCGGGTGTCGATTGAAGACCAACCGGTGCCCGATCTGCCGCGTCAGGTGAGCGTATAACAAGAACAAACCCCCCGACCGACGATAGACTCGTCGAGATATTCTATTGGAACAACAATTTATTCAAAGTCTCCAAGTATATACGTATATAATTATCATATATAGACTGGGCCAGGGTCGGTGCCTGCTCGCCGACACGTCGCACCGGGTGCTGACCGAGGCGCTGGTCGATCAGCCGCTACCGATCGCCGACCACCCCGACGAGGAAGCCGTTTCTCCGACAGCTGGGGTATGGGCCTTACACTTGGCATCGATTACCCATTCTGAAGCCCCGTGCTTGTTTTTCCCTCCCCGTAGACCGTGCGTTCGTTGCGAAACGTCATCTTTGGGCCATCGTCGAAATCGGCAACAAGGGGGGACCAGTTCCATCACCGGCTCTCCAAGGTGCTGGTGCCAACGAGAAGCAGCAGCAGTAGACTGGACGAGGGGCGCAACGCGTCCACGGAGAGTTTGCCGGCGTCGACGAGTTGCGCCATGGATGGGAATCTGTTGTACGGTCGCAGGTGGCTGTTGAGGCTGTACGACAGGCGCAAGTCGGCCAGCACGGGTGAGCTGAGCAAAACGTCCCGGGAGGATGGCAGGCCGGGGCGCTTCGCCGGTGGGGACGATGACGCGTCTTTGCTGAGCGTGCCCCAGACTCCGGTCTGGGGTGGATCGACCGAGTCGATTACGATGAGCGCTCGGGTGCGGTGTCCGCTGAGGGAGCGCGCCAATTGCACCGAGTCCCTGGACTGGGCTTCTCTGCTGGATCACCTGAGCGAGAGGCACGACGGGCCGTTGGTGCACTTTTACAAGACAAGTGTGAGCCTGCCGGTGCCATTTCCGTTCCACGAGCAGGAGGTGGTTCCACTTTACATCTTTCATCAGAACGGCGAGGTCTTTGTCATGCAGGTGAGCTGATGACGGTGACTCCAGGGAGACGCGTCTTTTTTACCTGTTTGCATCCTACAGTTGGCGATTAAAACGCAACCAAGTGGGTGTAGAAGAGTAGAATAGACTTATTTTATTACCTGCTTTATATGTATAATCTCCAAACAATCGCTTTTGGCATCAAACATCTGTCATAGATGATAATTGTTGCCGTTGTACTGAAAGAACTACAAAATTCGACATCGCTCAAGTCGATTTCCTTCAATCATAAAACTTGTATTTGGTGTTTTATTTATGAATAAACAGAATAGTTTTTATTTCTGTAAAAACGTTTTTTTTTTCTTTTGCAGAACGAGAAAAATAAAATTTGGATGTGTACGGTTTTGGATGAAATCAACTGGGAGTGGATGTTGTGCGGAGTGAGTGAAAGTGGAGCCGAATTTCGATCAAGGAAAAACGTTGTTAGTTTGAGGGAACCGTTTGAATTTTCTGTTACTCGACACGTCGTCACTTTACCGGAACATTTATCCATCACATCTGTCAACGTTTCACTCATCGAGTTGAATTCAGCTTGTGTCAAGGTGTAATTAAATCTTTTTTAAAATAATAGTAAATACTTTGGATTATGTATAAAAAGTTAATAAAATAGTTTATTGCATACAACTTGGTCTTTTATAAAGGCACTTTTTTATGACAATTACAGCTATATAAACTTAAAAAAAGGTACATTGCGATTATTCTTTTAATTAACGAGTACATAAATGCAGCACGGTAGTAGAAACATAAAAAACAATCTATTGCAATCATGCGACGCATTCTTAATGACTTACACGACGTATTTTGGTCAAATTGACAATCAACTTTCACAATAGTCTAAAAAATATCAAAACACTTTTTGAAGTTTTATCAACAATTATAAGATATACAAAATTTAACTTTCACTTTGATAAATCAAGTCCAAAAAAATTGGATTCACAAGCCGTTGATATAAAAATTTATGGCCATCTCATATCTCACAAAACATATTGCTTAATATTGCTTACTCCACTCGAGACATTTCCTTCTGAATCTTATCGATGTAAGGTTTGTATATGTCCAAGTTTTCATTTCTAACACCACAACCTGACATAACATCACAGGCGTACTTCATGACTGCAATGGCATTATCACGACCACATATACTTAAATTTAAATTAAACACTTGATTTTCAAACATCTTTTTTTTATGAACCATAGGTTGAGGAAAATCAACGTTTGAACTCGGTTTCCTTTTTTTGTAAGTAGATGTGGTTGTCTTCTGAACCATAAATCCTTTCGGATCAGAGTCCATTTCTTCTTTATCTTTATCTCTCTTTGGACAACTACAAATTCGAATTTCCATTTTTCTCCGACCTAATATTAGATTTTGCTGGTTTTCAAGTGTAAAAATAATTTCTGTTGCACGCCTGTTCATTCCATGTGCGCAGCTATTTTTACAAAAAAATTTGTAGTCTACTGGGACATGTGCCATTCCAGCCTCTGGTGCACCCAGGGGTATCAACACAGATAAGTGACCATTATGTGACTTTTGATAAATACTTGTGGCATGCAAGCATCTTATAACGTGTTGCACTTCAGTTTGGTTTATGTCTCGATTGCTGCTATTGCTGATAGCCATATGATTATGGCACCTGACGACAGGCTCAGATCTATACTGGTCCAGCTTAAATACTAATGTGGCTCTCAGCCACAATCCATCAACGGGTGGAGTCCATTGAAATTGCAATGGCAGCACTTCTTCCATATGAATGAATACTTTTGATAGTTTTTCTGAAAACTGCAACAAAAATTAAATCAATAATTATGAGACGTTAAAATGTGATGGACGCTTCTGTGATAAAACCTAAATATTTGAGAATTATTTTCCGGTATGACCAGTGAAAAGCTGGCCATGAAATTTTTCTTAAATGCAAATCTTCAAATTGATTTGCCAACAAATATGCAAACGTATAAAACAAGAGAAATTAAGACATTTTATAAAAATCAATCACTTACGATCCAATGTTTTCCAGATACTGATGGATTAAGAAGAAGTTGGAAGTTGTATTGCCCAGCAAATTCTTCTTTCCCTAAAATCGGAGTTTGTACTGGAGGTTGCTGATAAAGAGCATGATGTTGTTGCAATTGCTGCTCATGTTCAAGCTGTAATTGGTCATGCTGCTGCTGTTGCAAGTTCTCATATTGTTGTTGTGCGAGAACAGCATGCAAGGCTTGCTTGTTATCAGTGGTGTTAGTGTCTCCATTGGAACTCATTGCATTATGCATGGTATTGGCTTGTCCAGAATTTATGCAAAGTTGGGACTGACTTGACTTTTGACTGTTGGTGAAGTCAGGTATTTCTAGATCAGACATGGATAGTTGAAGTTGAAGATCCCTAAAAAATATGAAAGAATATCTCATTAAAATGCTTGAAATTGACATTAGATAGTATATTACGCAAGCAATGCATGTATTGGGTGAATTTTCGTATAATTGTTTCAATTCAACACATTGACGTATACAAATGTACTAAAAAAAATCTCTTGCATGCCACAAAACATGGTATTGTTTAAAAATTAAGAGACATTTCCAACAAGTATTACAGCATGCAGGATTAGGTATGTACTTTAGCGGATGCTGCATGGTGGAAACCTAAAATTTACGAAGACGTTAAGTAGGGGAATCTTTTGCATCGACAGCATGACACGTTTTTCGAAAAACGAAAAATTTTAATTATACCTCTGCGCCCTTTGGCTCCATGGACATGAATGAAACTTTGCGATCTGGGAAAAATTCGCAACTCGGGCCTCAACTTATGTGCAATGACGGCGCTTTTGGAGCATACTAGTCATGCTTTGTGCTCATTTTGTTTGAGAATTACTATTTTAAACTTTACAGAGGAACTACACTGTTTTCGATAACTGCCGTTATATTTATGTATATGGTGTTGTATTAATGTGATTTCCTTTAATCAATACCATATTGAATAGAATTAAAAAAATCGCTTTTGGC